ATAATAATAATAATAATAATAATAATAACAGTGCTAATAATAATAATAATAATCACAATGTGCGCGCACGTACTCGTTGCCTGTGCCGTAGACGACCCAAACACCTGGTTGGAACCACCGAACACGCTCTTGTTTGCGTTCTCCGCGCTCGGCTTGCCTCCCAGGCCGCTGAAGAAACCTCCGCCTCCGTCACCCGCCGCTGACGTACTCGGCTGTCCGAAGATAGAACTGAAACGACGCCGAGCGAAAAAAAGCGTTTGTGAAAAAATGCAATAAAAGAAAGATACAGAGAGAGGGAAGGGAGGGAAGGCGAGAGAGAGAGAAAAAGAGAGAGAGAGGAGAGAGAGAAAGAGTTAGAGAAGGAGAGAGAGGGAGAAAGAGAGAGAGAGAAAAAGAGAGTTAGAGAAGGAGAGAGAGGGGGAGAGAGAGAGAGAGCGAGAACAAGGAGGGGCTCACGGAGGAATTATCGCGGGAGGGAGGAGGCAATTTTTGCGTTCTGCCTCCTCCTTGCTATGTGGACCTGCAGCACCATGGCAATGCTTAGAGCGTCCTATCGCCACGCCGATTAGCCAAAGCTGACGGCCAATCATGCCCCAGCGATTCCCGTCGAGTTCCCTCACCTGCTCGTAGTGGCCGTCGCGCCGCCGAACGCCGACTGGCCGAACGCCCCCTGCTGGCCGAACAGCGAACTGCTGGGCGCCTGCTCGAACAGCGGCTTCGAGCCGAAGACGGACGCGCCGGCAAACGCTCCCGTCGTCGTCGGCTGCGCAGCGGTGGCAACCCCGCCGAACAGAGAGGTTCCCGTGGCCGGCGGAGTAGCCTCACCGAACAGCGGCTTTCCCGGAGCTGTTCCGAACAGCCCTGAGGAACCGCCGAAGGTCGCTGCTGTCGCCGCCGCCGTCGTTGTCGTGGTGGCGCCCCCGAACGGCGACAACGGCGCCGCTGCGCCAAACGGCGAGGTGGCACCGGCGGTCGTCGTCGAGGCTCCGCCGAATGTGCTGCCACTTGTTGTGCCGCTCGACGGCAAAGCGAAGCCAGAGCTGAAACGATGCATCGCGGCGATTAACGCATGCATTCGAGGGGATGCGGAAAAAGTGTTCATCATAGACAGGCTTCGATTCCATAGAGGCTTCAGTAGAGATTCTATAGTCAGGCTTCACTATACAACTAGCAAAGGAAAATGCCAAGTACTGTGTACGCGGTATATTTCGCGATGGTTTAATTTTCGCGAATTTCGCGAACGCGTCTCCCTGACCGCACGCGAAAATAACAACACGTGAAAACAACAACACGCTGTTCTTCACCGATTCGGGAATTCACCGACTGCGAAATTAACCACTCGCGAAATTGTCCGTCAAGTCTGAATTCGCGAAAATATCTGTACGCGAAAAATATGGCTTACACAGTAATTCATAGATGGACGTCGGTTCCCATAGAGGTTACCGCTACGGCGGGTCTGACTATATGTCTATGCATGGCCATTAACATTTGTTCCATTTACTGTTTATTATCTGCATCCCATAACGATATACGTACCTTGCGAACAGACCGGTAGGGGCTGGGGCAGCAGCCGGCGACGCAAAACTGAATCCGGTCGCACCTGCGCCGCCAAACACGGAGCTCGTAGCCGCGGCAACGGGCTGCCCAAACGACGTTCCCGTGGTTACCGGTGCTGCTGATGTCGTTGTTGATGTTGCTGTTGCAGTTGTTGCCGCTGCTGTAGTCGTTGCCGTTGTAGTTGCTGCTGCTGCTGCTTCTGCTGCTGTTGCATCCACTGATGTTGTCGTCATTGTTGCCGCTACTGTTGCCACTGTTGGCGCTGCTGCTGCCGTCGTTGCCGTGGTAACCGAGGACGATGCGAAGACCGACGGTGAAGTGAACGAGAAAACCGAGCTCAAATTCACCGCCGCGCTCGCTTCACCCGCCGCCGACGTGACAACAGAGGGCGCTCCCTCTGCTGCCGCCGACACAGCAGGCGTCTGGCCCTTGCTAACTGCCGCCTGCGCTGCGGGGGAAGTAGCAGACTCGGACGACGGTGCTGCCGCAGCGTCGGCCGCCTGCGACGGCGATTTGAAGGTGAACGCCGCGGCGGCAGAGGTCGGTGGCGGCTGCGCTGCGGCGGCTGAGGCCTGCACGGCGGTCTTGCCGAACGTGAACCCGGCGCCGGCCGGCTTCCCGAAGACAAACGCCGCTGACGGCGATGCCGCGGCCGCGCCCCCAAAGATCGAGCCACTCGTCTTGACTCCTCCGAAAGCGCCGAGCAAGGACGATCCGGCTGCGGGCGCTGCCGCCGCGCCGGCGAACAGCGATCCGGTCGCCGGGCTCGTCTTGGGAGCGAAGCTGAATGCCGAGGCCTGAGAGGATGGTTGGGAAGCGGGAGCGGCGGGGGCCTGTGAGGACGCGAGGGCCAACACTACGGTGTCTGTCGACGCAGTCTCCTCCTCGATCGTAAACGTGTCTGCGAGCAAACGAGTGATGCCATACAGCAAACAATGTCTCATTAAGATACAAACGTGTCTGCAAAAAAGTGACACAAAACAGCAAACAATGACTCGTGAAAATACAAACGTGTCTGCAAAAAAGCAAGTGACACAATACAACCAGCAGTGAGTAATTTAAAAACAAATGTGTTAGCAAAAAAAAACAAGTTCCACATACAACAAACAATGATTCACGAAATTACAAAGGTCTACATTTATTTGCGAAGACTATAGAGATATCTGTATTATACACATTTCTCATGGGAATAAACCATATAGGAGATATGATGAGCCAAACCACGTGTGGTCTCATATATAACCATTATAACCAAACCACGTGTAATCTATACCTTCCTCTTCGTCCCCTTCTCCTTCTTCCGGTTCCTCGTCCACCTCTTCTTCTTCCTCCTCCCCTTCCGCCTCTTCCTCCTGCTCAACTTCCTCTTCCCCTTTGTTAAGCTCCTCTATGGTCATGCCATTGAGTCCGAGTGGACAGACAGTTCCTCCCACCTCCTGTTCGGATGAACTGGGGGTTGACGGTGGAGTAACGTCTTCCAGGACTGCAGAAGTGCACCACAGCATTTCACATCACAACATTCACACACTATACTACCTCTTACTACTACCTACTACCTACTACCTACTACTTCCTGAAAGCTGGCCTCACGTGATTTATGCTCGTCATTTTCTAGATATTTCATGAAAAGAATTTTAAAACGTTTTGGGTTGTAATTGGAAGCGTAGCCTATTTAAGGGAAAAGTGCTAGGATAGCTCCCATAATTATCTTCAGTTAAAAGGGTTTTATGTACCTACATAACAATTATTGTTGTACAGCAACTGAAAGTTTGCAAATCTGTGTTTATCGACCCAAACTTGCGGCTCATGTCATTAGATATTGCTACACAGCAAGAATAAATTAATAGTAATAATTTAATGTCAAAATAATGCCGAGGGATAGAGTAATATTAGCATCTTAATAACCTTAAGCACAAAATTGCAAGACGTATATTTTAGTTGCAACTCATTCTTCATTCCTTAACATCAATTAGAATCAGCACAGTTTATATGTTAATTATATATCTCACCAGCATATGTAGATATTGGCTCGACAGTTGCTGATTTGCTGGTGGTGCCAACAGACGAGACTGTGCTCACTGGCGCAAAAGAGAAGGATGGTTGTGCCTTAAACTGAAAAGCTAAAGCAAATGATGTTCGTATAAGTCTTATGGGTATCGTATATTTAGGCTTTTCAAGGCTCAAAAAAACACAAACAGAACATGGTTTAGAAACAAATAGGCATGCATATATATATATATGCACAATTCCGAAAAACATCCACTGTCAAGCGATATCAATGGTATCAACCCTAGCCAAGGATTGAAATCTTAAAACTACGATGACGCAAATGAATAACTTCGCACACAAGTGACAAGTGACAAGCGTAATCACAATAACGATCGTGATCACTTTGCTGCCAACCGTCAATCTACTCACCAACAAATAAAACTGCGATCCACTACTGACGTTACTACCTGATTATCATCGATTATCTCACAACCGAATCGTTAAAAAAACACGCTGACCGCAAACAAATACGTTCGTCGTCGTCACCGCAGCATCAATCGCTCTAGCGTTAATCACGATCTACTCAATGACATCCCGCGGACCAGCGATCCGTCGCCACGGCTACCTGAAGGCGCCGTCACGGCGGACGAAGCCACGGACCGGACCACTGTCGTCGCCGCGGTAACGCCCTCCGGTTTCTTCTGCTCGCCGCCGCCACCGAACGGAGGTTTCGCCGCGGGAGACGCGTCGGTGAACGCAGGAGGGGCTTGGAACGAGAAGGCGCCGAGCGTGTCCGTCTTTCCACCGGCCGTCGCCAGTACCGGGGCGCCTGCAACACGACGGCGTTGACGCGGTTGCAGACGAGAACCGAGTCGATAAGCAACACACGCTCGCTCAGACGTAACATCAAAAACTTGAGAAGAATGAATGCTTGAGAGAAAAATTACAGAAGGAATGCAAGATATAACACACACATACAACACACATACAGGTATAACACATACAGGTATAACACACATACAGGTATAACACACATACAGGTATAACACAGATACAGGTATAACACACATACAGATAAAACACACATACAGGTATAACACACATAGAGGTATAACACACATACAGGTATAACACATACAGGTATAACACATACAGGTATAACACACATACAGGTATAACACACATACAGGTATAACACACATACAGGTATAACACACACACAGGTATAACACACATACAGGTATAACGCACACACAGGTATAACACAGCCAGATATAACACACACACACACAGTTCACAGCCATCACATATAGGTTCACAGATGTAAGACACACACTATTAGACATAACAGAGACAATCACATGCACGCATGCACGCACGCAAGCACGCACACAACATAATGAAACAGAAACCAACACAGACACAACACGCAAACACAGAAACGACACGAGATGCGCAGAGATACAACATAGCAGAGACACCGCAGCACCGGACGCGCAGCAACCCTACGCTAATAAAACCAGAAAACAAACGCAGCTCTCCAAATATTTCACGCGAATACGAGAGAACATCGGCGCTCTGCGACGCAGCAGCCTACCCGATCCGAAGGTGAAAACTGCGGCTGTCTTGCCGGCCGCCGCCGCGGCTCCAGCGGAGGCCGTGCTACTGAACGCGCTGCCCTCCTGACCGAACCGAGTAACGGGTGCATCCGGTTTACCGGCTGCCGTCGCCAACGCGGCAAGCTGGTCGAACGCGACCGCCGGCTTGCCAGGGGGCGTCGTTTGGCCGGCAGTGACCTCCGGGGTGACCTTAATCGATTGTGAGGTCACACCTGTGCGATTGTAACGTGTAATAATTCTCGGATGACGGTCGAGGGCGTTTTATCGGAAAACATTTTTCGACGAAAAACACGACAGTTGAAAAAAAACACACGACAGTCGAAAGTATTTTAATAAAAAAATACTGATTTTCGAGCAGCTGAAACTGACACTTTCTTCATGCACTTTGAAGTCGAATAAAATTAATCGAGTTCTTTTTAAGACAACTCTGATTTTAGTTTACCTCGACAAAGGGTACGCGGTTCCTAGCAGAACGTTTCTCGCCGTCCAGCGGTACCTCTTACGTATATGTAACTTACGATGTCACAACCTTCGTTCGGACTGCAATCGCGCGATGAAGACGCGCGGAAGACGAGCTACCTACCATCTGGCTGCGCGAGTGGTCGCCCGAATGCAGAGGTGGCGCCACCGTCGGCAGCATCCCTGGCGTCGTCGACAGGCTCCGCGCAGGCGCTCTCCTCCAACGCCAGCTCGTGTTCCAGCTGACGCTTCAACGCTTCCACCGAGACGACCTTCGACACCATCAGGTTCGCTGCAATCACGAGCCGACGTCGATCAACAGCACGACAATTATTCGTCTCGCTAACATTAACATTAACATTAACATTAACATTATCAATTATAGAGATCGATATCAGAGTTGGAATCGGTTGTGGTAACTCTCGCTAACGACTAATCACTCGTCGGCTCAGCAGCGAGGTCCGACGCAGAGTTCCAATTAGCAGAAATAAGCAAGTTATTAGTAAGTAATTTATTAGTAAGACACGTAGCGCGTGCCACCGACCAATGACTCGTCGACCCAGTGCCGGCGCCGCACAAAGTCTCGACCCTACACCACAACAACATCACATCTCCAGAGATGAGAACAGCCCCGGACAAAATCCGCGGAACATATTTCTACTTACTGGTAGCACTTTCACGGGGTCAGGGAGTTCTTTAAAAAAAAAATTAGATGCTTGCAGATGCATTCTGAGGCACAGAAATTCGGAAAACTAGCTTGTTCATGAACGCCTTCATTGAGCGCGCATTGCGCGACTGACTAGTACATTTGTCGGCCACGGGATGGCGAGCTCAGATGGTAAAAAAGCATCACTAGCCGTGGGACATTTTTCCACTGTCCGCGGGTGGCAGTACCCCCCCCCACCCTACAATTTTCTCAATGGATTTGAACGATTTGGAAAATTGATAATTTTCGAAAGTGAAAAACGCGGTAAACCGCGGATCCGCGGGAGATTCTTATCTCTGCATCTCGGGTCGTGGCGAGACAACATCGCGCGCGCGCACATGGGGCGTACCTGGCACGGTGGATCGCACAGGCGTCACCTTCCTCCGGCCCAGCAGCTCCTTGAGTCTGCTCTGCGCCTCCGGAGACAGCCGCTTAGTGGGACTCGGCGAGGAGACCTTGTGCTGCAGCAGCGAGTCGGCAAGAACGGACAGGTCCACGCCATCACTGCAGAAGATAGAAAGATATATATATACAAAAGATAAAGATAAAGATATAAGATATAGATTTGCACAATTATATGCTGCACAATATATCAGCTCTCTCACGAAAGGCATTAAAATTGTGAAAGGCGGAGTGTGTGCACGGCGCCGTCACTGCAGAAGGTAGAATAGAGCAAGACAGAGCGTGTGCGCAACACTGCATGATAGACATACTCAATTTCACAGCAAAAGGTAAAATAGCATAAGGCAGTGTGTGCACAATTCTTAGCTGTACAATAGATCTACTCTGTCACTGAAGAAGGTAAAATATCTTAAGACAGAGCGCATGCACAACTCTTAGCTGCTCATCAGACGTAATAGATCAGATACCTTGTTACTGCAGAAGGTGAAATAACATAAGGGCAGGCAGACGTTAGCTGCGCACTCAAAAACTCATTAGGTACAATTTCTCATTAGTAAACATTAGGAGTCAATTTCGCTTAGGTCCTTTACTTGAGAACTCGCTCACATTTCACATTCGCTTCACAAGGAAATGTGAGGCTCAAGCAGTGTAACACAGTATCCTCTAAACACCTCCACCATACATCAGTATACACTGTAAAAACAAACACTCGCAGCAGCACATCATAGACACCCACACACGCCTCAGCACCCCTCCATCAAAGAAAACCTTAACCTAGGCGTCTCTCTGACTCTCCGAACACACGACAACACTTCTCTAAATGAAAAAACTCGCCCAAACACCCCCCGCGCCTAAACGGATCCTGATTCGACTCCCGGTGGTCGCCCCTCCCCTCCAGTCAATGTAGTTCAGTGGCCTGATCCTGATCCGACTCCCGGCAATCATCCCCCCCCCCCCCGCCCGTACGTACCCGCGGTCGACCGTCCTCTCGTGGTCGTGTCCCGCGGCGGCGGCGGTGGGTGGAGCGGCGGAGGCGGGGATGTCGGTCCAGCGCGCGGCGGCGTTGTACAGCCGCAGGTCGGCGAGCTGCGCGGCGAGGCGATCGACGCGGTGCGCCTGCGTCGCCGCCGCGTTGCGGTTGTTGCTGACGACGTTGTAGACCATGTCGGCGGACGGCACCCTCAGCTTCCTACGCGCGTGCGTGGGGAGAGAGAGGGAGAGACATTCACTCACACATGCACTCACGCACACACGCACGCGCGCACACAGAGAGAGAAAGAGGGGAGAGAGACAGAGAGAGAGAGAGTGAGAAAGAGAGAGAAAGAGAGAGAGAGAGAGAGAGAGAGAGAGAGAGAGAGAGAGAGAGTAGAGAGAAGAGAGAGAGAGAGAAGAGAGAGAGAGAGAGAGAGAGAGTAGAGAGAGAGAGGAAGGGGTCAGTGGAAATGATTTTGGTTTTCCAGGCACTTTGAAAAGTCATGGAAAATGGGGAAAGTCATTAAAAGTCATTAAATTTAAGATTTTCCTGGAGCATTCATAGTCATAGTTTAATTTGTAACTTTTGACAACTTGAAAAAGAGTTTTAAGAGTCTCATACAATGTGTTTAGAATAGTTAGAATGCCACCAAATTGCACAATTTTTCCAAAAAGTTTACGCCGGGGCGAGCATACCGGACCCCTCTACGCTGGCGCGCGAATTGCTCCTCCGCGGCAGCTTTCTGTTGCGTAGCTCCTCGAGAGCGCGCAACACGCTTTGAATCCAAGCTTATGCCGATGGTTTTTCGGCCAAACCGGGCCAGTTACCTCTTTGTATAATTCGCCCCGCCCAGAAGAAACCCTGGTTATAGAGCATTCCTTCTAAAACTTAGATCATTAATGAGAGAATTCTTAGGTCATGAAAAGTCAGATTAAATTTCACTCCAGGTGATCTGTGGGAACCCAGTTTCATCCTTGCCGTGCGTAAAAAGTTGAAAGATTAAACCTAAATTGAAACTCGGTCGAAACACCAAAAGTTTAATTGAAACTTGTGAAAAGAAAGTTTAAAACATTTAAAAACTCGTGTGAGCGAGAAAAAATGTAATTAAAACATCGGCGAACCAGAGAACGTACAAAGTTAAAACTCGTCTCGTGTGTTCGCCTCCGCGACGCACGGTGAAGCCAGGTTTGAGAACGGACGATGTCTGAGCACCGATGGGCCGAAGCGAGCAGCGCTCAACGTCGGTGCGTCCGGCCGGTTAATGGACGGAGATCCTCGACATCAGGACGCAGGCACATTGGACGCGGGCGCCCGCTACCAGTTTGTCGAGAAGCCGGAAGAAGTCGACGTCGGCGTGCTCTGATAGTTTTGGCGCCCACGTCATGAACAGTTAGTAGAGACGTGTACTCCATTTTCCAGCTGTATATATTATTAAATACAATATCATTTTAATATCATATTATGTATATTATACCACGGTAGGATATATCATATATGATTTATATGTAGTATATAATGCATTAGTTCGTTGTGCAAGCCATCGCTTCGCGTGCACTTGCCGCCCTGTAACCATGTAACCCATAGCGGTGTTGTAGTAACGCAGCTTGCTGAGTACGTCACGCATTCGGTGTAACACAGATGTGTAGGGAACTCAATTTTTTGCCATAGTTTGATCTCGGCTATGGCCCAACGGCCAAAGGTGACTTCACACGACTGGTGAGGCACTTGCCTCACTACCTGTTAGGCACCTATACACTGCGCCGAGCGCGCGGAGTGAGCGTGTGCGTCACATGTGTATCTCTCTGGAGGTTCTGCACCACACGTTCTGTTATATGCCTTCTCGTGCGCTATGTACATGTTAGCAGCAAGCGGCGGACATTGACGTGCAAATCTACTGATACGCAATGTACAAGATACCGGAACTGAAGAGACGAGATGGCTGTCTCTGTGGTACGACTGTATCGATTTGTGGTCACAAGATGGGCCGAGGGATTGGCGGAGGGTGGCTAACTCCCGCCTAGTTCTCCTGCCACATGACAGGCGAATAACTCGTGCGTATGTCATGATACATAGCACGGACCCGGGGCGCGCCGCACCCTGGGTCTCAGAGGTTCCGTATCACCTGGTACAGTGGTAAGGTCACTACCATGTACACATGCCCTTTCTCGGCCGGCGATGGCTAGAGGGGGCGTAGGAGACTGGCTATCCTGTAACCAAGCGAGCGGCAGTTGCGTTTTAAATAACTAGTACTATATCGCTATTATCTAATAATATATAGTATGGAGGGGTGTTATGGCGTTATATATCAGATGTACTATGGGTACGAAAAGCGTAGTAGCGTGTGGTTCATATGTTACATGTATTATAGTGCTAAATGGACGGAATAAAACAGCAGGCCGACTGCGTGCTAGAGACGTTCCCTGAGACTAGCTTGGGGGCTTGCTACATGTACAAAGCGATGCGGAGTCCGTTCCATTTACGTCCGCTCGAAGCTCATGCCACCTCTATCTATCATGTTATATGTTATACCTATTGCATACTCCAATATAGCCGATGTTAGCTATGATGCGTATGTACACTGTATTACTATAATATATCTAGCGCCGGCCCTGTAGCACACGGACTCCACGGAAATCGAATTCGGGATACGAGGGCCGATTTTCGTCTTCCTGCGTTCCGAGCCGGATCCTCTGTAATACATTGTTTTGCCCGTGATTTATCACACATGAGTTTCGCAGACCTCTTGCGGAGTTAGCCACTTCTTTTTTTTTTTCGTTACAGTGTACATCCAGAATAGGCGATTGGGGCATCTGTTACATGGGCCATCTAAGATATTAGACATTTAAAATTGTTAAATACAGCGACCTTTAGACGCTTATTATGTTACTATAATGTACCAACTTCTACTACCGCTTTATTCATTTACTACGCTGTGTACGTATGATTACGTGTACACTGTACAACGCACGACGCGTAGCGTGTGTACATGCTACAAGCGATGTGTGCGTGATGTACATCTGACAGCGAAGCGTGCGTCATGTACATTAGGAATTAATACAGAGCGACTCGCGTTGGCGGTGTGTGTACTGTACAAGCCCCACGAGCGCCCTTACCCGGGCCACACTCTGCAATGATACTATGACATGCTACCGAAAGCGAGCCCGTGCGTATTCGTCTGTAACCAAGCAGCGAGCCGATCCGCGTGTCACTGTACATGCTAGATATAGCAACCGCGAAATGCGCCCACCCACGTCACCAAATAGCGCTTGTCACCATGATCGCTACCATGCCTCAACACGTGAGGTCGTGCGCCTCGGA